TGAGTCAAGTGCTAATGAAGGGCTTGCGGAGACTTCAGAAGGAAATCAATAGGAAAAGGTAAACAGCACAGGAAGATGCGGGGGGACAGATGGACAGTTTTCAGGTGGAGATCAAAGGTCTGGTAATCTGGGGGTGCAGTGAGACACACTGGCATCCTTCAACCTGCAAAGAAACTGCAAGACGACTTGATCTTATGAAAAGGGATCTCAGCCATCCTGGTTAAAAATGCCGGGAAAAGAATTTGGTCAAAGCTAGGGGAATGTCCTGTGAGTTAAGTTTAGGCTCTAGAAAGCATGTTATGATTTTGGTTTATATGTAAGCATTTGTTTCCACTATTCTTACTTTCTATTATTTGAATCTCCATTCTTATGTATATTTATAGTGAAAAAAAGAATAAGTTTATTATCAAGTGCTGTTTGTTAAGCAGAGTGGTGATCCTAAGTTAAAACTAGTAAGCTGGTGTGTACTATTCCTTTGGGAGTAGTGAATCTGTGAATGCTGAGCAGAACAGGGGCTGGGCACTCCAGAGACACACTTGAAGGGCTTGGGGGTTGGTGTGTACTTACCGCTTGCCTGCAGAGGGACCGCAGAGCCTGGCAGATATAGATAAGACTCTCATGCTAAGGGCAGGTGGTAGCAAGGTGCCTCACAACCCTGGGAAGCATATCACCCTCACAGAAAAAATTATTATACAAGAGGGAAAATCTCTCCTTTTTAAACCAGGGGACCAAAGTTCAAATATTTCAGCCGATTCTACCTACAGCACTATTGCACGGTGAGAGAATCAGTCTCCAACAGCCAGGGCCTAAAGCATTACGGCTTTACAAGGTAAGCAACCAACACTTTACACTCCTCCCAAGATTAATAAGGAGGCATTGTTGATTATATTACAGAGCACAGGTATAATGTGCTCGCTGCATGAAGTACCATTTAATAAATGGGCAGCCACATTCTGCACAAGCTTTAGTTTCCAGAGTCTAAAAGGTGGTCCCCATGTACAGCACATTACACGAGCTTGGTCTTGAAGTGAAAGGCCCAGGACACAGCAGCCGAGGCCTGAGAGAAGAGGCTACACTCTTCTTGTCAAGATCAGATAACAAGAGAGGCACTTGCGGCTGCTCAGGATGCACAAGTCGGTCTTATGCATTTGTTCTACAAATATGTGTTAACATTTTAACAGGATTACTGACTAGAGTCACACAAGGGACATTACCATGTTGTGTTTTTAATGCTCGAGAGCACAATGGAAGTTGTGTGCAAAACATCTCATCCCAGATCCTCCATAGGTATTTAGGCAGCTAACTCCCATTGATTTCAGGGGAAGTTGGGAGCCTAAATAGCTTGGAGGATCTGGGTCTTAGAAAATGAAAGAGGAGAACTGAACGATCAGAACTCAGTGTCTGAAGGCTAAGACACATTTTTGGCTGTGCATATATTGACTACATAGAATAAAGGTTAGAGTTGAAAATGCGACCACATTTTTAGGAATTACAATCTGATTTTAAAAGTCTTCTACAGGTACAAGTTATTCTTCAGCCA